ATCATTCACAATTTTGAGTCATTGGTTGGCTTCAAAATATTGTCTGTAAAAACTGTAATGTTTTTTGTCAGTTACCTAAAGCTCCTGACTAACAAGTGTCCTAGCTACTCATGGCATCTTGTGCTATCATCTACAAGGGGCTGTCACTATTATTAAGAGGTAGCTATAAATATGAACTATGCTATATGAATTTGAATTGAAACATGTTCTCTGTCCCAAACACTGTAAGGCTAAAGAGAGGCAGGATATATTGATACAGTCTAAGATAAAGGCACAGGTCAACAAATTGTGATAAAAGGGAAGATAAAAGAGAGAGAACTAATCAAGGGCCAAGTTCACAAATGTGTGCAGAAAGCTTTTAGACGTGCAAATAAGAGATTTGATGGTATCAAATGGATGTAAGAGGGCTCCTTAGGCTGGTAAATGGCACAGAGAGGGCAGAGGAAAAAAGTGGAGAGAGTGTGGCAAGCAGACACTAGAGTGAGATGCTGAGACAGAAACATGAAGACAGTACTTTTGTTAGTACTTTTGTCACTTGACAGTGGCAAGACTCTGATGCCAGGAATGAAATATGAAATATGAATCCCTGCCTGATTCTTTCTGGTTCTCTGAGAAGAGCCAGGGTGGAGAGCTGTAGAAGGGCACCACAGTGTCCTTTGTTTACGCCGATTTTTATGCTATCAACAATCCCTCATGTGTGTTTTAGGATGGATTCAGGGATTCTCTAAACTCATGTCCTTAGGGTCCTTGTTCTGACAGCAGAGTGACAACTGTGACTCAAGACCAAATGGTTAAGCACAACCAGTGCACCTATCAGAAGCGAGGAAGGGATGCATGGCACAGAATTCTTTCTGTGACTTCTCAGGTGTTCCCCAGGGCCACCAGGAAATTCTAAAATTACAAACCTGAAGTTATGTTTCTCTTAGCCCCCATTTTCACCACCTCTAGGCTAGCCTTGGTAGCCAGCCAGCTCAGTTGGTTAGACCCTGGTCATGTTTTACCCCCTGGAGCTACATGTTAACTCAAAAAGCACCCCACCCTCCCTTGCTGTTCACATACACTTTTTTCCCACTGCAAGTATCACAGATAGTAGCTCCCTGGCTGGGTTTCTGAGTCTGTGTGATGGGCTTGCACTGACAGACCTTTTATTTCTCCAGCTGTGTTTACATGGACAGACTTAGAAACTCAAGTGAGTGTACTGCATAAGCCCTGCTTCACCTTTGCAAGACATCCAGCAACATCTGGATGAAAGACAGATGCAAGGTTGCTGTTTGCTGCTGAAAGGGCAGAGTGGTAGAGGTCAGCTAGAGGTAGTAAAAAGTATCATATCCGGTGCAAAACAGAGTGCAAATATATCTGTATCATGATACTTCTGCTTCCCCTTTTCAGCGACCAGCCTCTGCAGCTCTTAGTTCCCAGGTGTATAAATTGTCTTCCTTGTATTACTGCTTCAGTTTGCTCCGCTTTTGGATGCTCACACAGCGGTGAGGTGACCCTGGCAGCTGCACATCAGTGCTCAGATGTGTGGGTGGATACCCTCTGGCTTTGGGGAGAACCAGAGTGACACTCACCGTGGCACAGCCCTTAGGGAGGTCAGTGTGGTGAGTGTTAAACCAAAAAGAAGGCCATGAAGGTAGATGGAAGATAATCTTAAGTGGAGGAAAACAATAAATGGCAAGAGATGACAGCCACTCTTACAGACTTTAAGGATACAATAAAACTATAACATTAATTGTAATTTTAACTGTTGCTTACCCTGTATCAATAAAACTAATTCATTCCAGTTACTTATGACACTCAAACCACACTAAATAAAAATCACCAACATTGTGAATTTATAAGATATGTTTTGCTGTGGTAGCATTAAAGGTTTAGGCGGAAAAAAACAAAAGTCAATGGCACGTTTCAACACAAAAGTCATCTGAGCCTTTACTATAGAAGTAATAAGGCATTTATTATTTCAAGAGCCCTGCATTCACAATATCCCCTTTTTCAAAGAAAACACCCCTTCCTTCCCATTTTTTTATGAGGCTAACTTGTAGTATGTCACCACTGTGAGACTTCTGAATGTGTTCAGAACAAGACAATAATAGTAAGCCACAGATGAATGATGTGTAGTAAAAATCAATAAACCTTATAACTATTCACTAAGGAAACTGATTTTATGCCTATAAAAATAAAACAATTATAGCAATATTAATGGCAGATTCATCATAGTAATATAAAAGTCCAAGTGTGCTTGTCTGTTGGGAATCTTTAATTCATCCTTCTGTATTAAGTATTCACAAGGTAGAAGAAACGTAACCAACTTCAAGAACAATCTTTAACTTGCAGTAATTCACCCTGTCAAAAAAAACCCCAACAAACACAAACAAAAAAGAAACAGTAAAACTTTAAGAACCAGTTTTGACAATCAATGTAACCGGTATATGCAGAAAAGGAAAAAAGTTAAAGCCTCAAAAACCTGACCAGTAAATCTGATTTTTTTTTCTTGCCACAATTAGCAATTTCATGTTACTGTGTACTATGTTAACTGCATTGTAACCAAACAGGTGGTATAGGCAAGTAAAATACTTATCTTGTGGTAATGCAGGTTAGACACAGCAAAGGAAGTTTTTTTTCTAATTGACAGGTCCTCTGTTTTTAGGCGTCCATTCATTTTTTGGGGGAAGGGTATTACAGATATAATATGAAAAAATTTGCCTATAATTTATAGCATACAGAGCTGCTCTAAAACAGGTATTAGAGACTTCAGTTCCACTAATACCATCCAAAGTGTTACCATGGGTCTTTTTTGAGCCTATCAGGGTCAACAGAAAGGGGTCCATCTGCCATCTGGCTTGGACCCTGCACTGCCTGCTGGGAGAGGACAATGGCACAGGCCCAGCAGAAGCATGACTAGGACCTGTGCCATTGCTGCACCCTCTGCTATCTACATCTATGACACATCTTTCAAAGTGGCTCAAGAACACCCAGAAATAATAATAATAATAAAAAAAAAAACAAAAACAAAAAAATCAAACCAACAGAACAAAAAAAAATCAAAGTTTTTTCATTATTCTGATTGCCAAATTATTTAAGGCAAGTAAAAAAATGAAAGCATTTGATATAGGTTTTACATAAAATAAACTAGGTTACAGCATAAAACAAGTAAACAGGTAATGGCATTAAAGTCTCTCCTCTAAATCTGGGTAATTGTAAACATTAAAAAAAAGACTGCAGGACTATTCAAGTAATAGAACAATCACAGATGTCTTCTCATATGCAGGCTATTAGGTTATCTGCCATTCAAGATTATCAAAAAAGACATTTCATTATTCACAGATGCTCATTATCTCCATTTAAAATCTATACATTATATACAACACAGTTTTTGTGGTACTAGAATCCCCATGCCTTCCAAAGGTATATTTTTCACAATACACAATTACAATGAAACAGTGAATACAGTAACATTTTACACTGATGCATCTTAATAGGAACCACCAAATAGACATCTACATTGTACCAAAGTGTCATCACAGTTAGCCTCTCTGAGAGCTTGTGGGAAATACCAGAAGGGTATGCAAGGTTCAGGCACACTGATACATAACATTATTTATTTACAATTGGAAAGGAAAAAAGAGAGAAGAAAAAGGAAAGGAAGAAGAAGAAAAAAGAAACAAACAGCCTTTTGCGGTTAACGCCTTCTAAACATGACAAATACATATCTCCATTTAGTGTGTGGTTCGCAACTTAGCAGCAGACCCTGTGTGCGAGCCTTGGTACTGATACAAAAAAAGTAAAGAATATATATATATTTTTATATATATATGTATATATATATATACGCATATATATATATATATAAAAACAGAAGTCTAATTACAGCAACATTTGTTACTCTGTGATAAAATCTGCAATTTACAAAAATGAAATGACTGGTTTTTGCCTGCCATTAAGGCATTTCAAATTAACACCATGGAACTGATGTCTGTAATAAAGCGCTTCCTCATGTGAACCAGTCACATGACAATGTTCATCCCCAAATTCATCATTCTCTGAAAAGAGAAAGAAGAAGGTTTTAGTAAGCAGCATCCTTTCCTCACACATTTTTTGCTGCATCTTGAAATGACACCTTGAAAGGAAATCTCTACAAGTATTCTCTAACCCAAGAAGAAAAGACAGCAAGCCCTGTCCTCATCCCTCCCCTGCCAGGAACAACATCCTAAAGTAACCTGTGCCAGGATTTTTCTTCTGGGTTCTGATACCCTATCATTCATCAGCTCTTCTGGGGCTACAAACCTCTCTGCCTTAAATAATTGCTTGTTTCAACACCAGCTTTCAGACAGACACCCGTAACTTAGAACTTCATGGTTCCATTTGACACGTTATACTGAGTCTTAACATGCCAGCAATGAACAAAACCCTAATGTTAAAAGATGCTTTGGAATTTTCCACTTGAAATGGGATCATCATAATACAGAAGTTCTCCTCTTGACAACCTAGTAAATAACTGACAGGCTTTGAGGCATATAAATGTATGACAGGGGTGTGCAACTTAAATACAAAGCCATCTCTAATGGGCTCCCAAACAAACCTCTCTAAAAGCATGATCAGCAAGCCATGAAGACTTGCAGAATAGATAAAATCCTAAGTTTTTCTGGTCATGTGTGGAGCCAGCTGGATATTAATTTTAAACTCATTTTATTAAAAATCTGGATCTTAAATTATATTTCATAATCTCTTGTTTTAGCTTAGTACCAATCCTTAAAACACACTCTATGGAAAATCCCAGAAGACAGACTACTTGTTCTTTCTTAATGACCTATGTTACAATTACAGAACACAACTAAGGACAAAATGTCATTCTAAGGAGAATAAAACTGCAATTAACCCAGAGTAACAGGTTTCTCCTCAACCTTAAAAACTGTCATACAAGGAAATGCACACCATCAGGCTAGAAAAATCTGTGATTTTCTTTCTCCTCTCTATGTTATAATATATAATTTATTGGCTATTTACCTTCTTTGTGCAGGAAACATACCAGATGCAGATGCCTGTGCAGCCACCTGCTGAGTGGCAACAAGGGCAGCAGAGGTCAATCCTGAGAGAAAAAAGAAACAAAGGAATTTTGATGTACTTCTGGTTTTAATGGATTTTTGTGGTCATAGAAATGGTAGGAAGGATCACTAAGACAAACAACCAGAAAATGTGGGAGGGGTTAACACTACATAAATGACAAATATTTCAGGCAACGTTGTTAAGACAGTCTGCCCAGTATGATCAATATACCTTTCTGTAATAAACTGAATTGATAGATAGTCTATGTCCTTGATAGATATTCTGCAAGAAATTACAGCATTTCTACTTCCTGCATTTCTTTCCAAATACTGCACTGAATGATGCTAAGTGGTTTATATGAGAGTTCATGAATAAGAAGCTCAGTAGAAATAATAGGTACCAGGAAACAACAAGAATCAAAAGTCACAGTGAATTACAGAAACGACATGCCAGCTGCTCAGGATACAATACTTTATTAATAACTTACCATTTTTACAGTTTTGTTACTGAACAAGCATAATGCATCCCAAAAGGCATACGGAATCACTGAATCACACTGAGAAATGTCAAGACTTTTACACAGGAAAAATAAGTGCTGAGGCACCAAGTCAACATAAAGAAGAAATGTCATTTAGCCACCAACTGTGGTAGCATGTAGTTTTGTAGCATAGTTTGCTGCATGGGAGGAAACCTCCTTTTAATTCAGCTAGAGTCCACAGTCAGAGAAAGAACATTCAAAGACTGGTATAAAGCCTAGGGAGAATAAATTGTATCTCACTGTGCTGCTTTTTCCCTGACTGCAACTTTGCACATGGCATTTGCCAAAATACAAAGAGTCCTCTTTCCAACAGTCAAATTATAACAAGCACAAACCCTTGTGACTGCAATGCCTTTTACGTAAAATATGTTCAGTATAAGAAGCTTTTGTCTTTGCTACACTTCCTCAATTGCTTACACAACCCTAATTATACAAAAAGGAGGTTGTTTGGTTTGGATATTTTACTGCCTTTCAGACAGTTAATGTCAGTTTGCAGGAGGAATCAAAACATTCATGTGGATGACACAGCCTAACTGGTTCATCTTTAATAATGCTCTGACACCCAGTTTTGGAAACAAAACTTGATATTTCTCAGGCATGAAGTTACTAATTTATTGCTAGAAATGCTGCAAATTTTCAAGCCTTCTTCCTAAATGTAAAGCTCTTCTGTTCTAACAATGGGATCTCTATTCAAAATGCTTCATGTAGGCACAATTTCCAGTGTCAAGGCAACAATTCCATGAGGCAAGCTAATCCCATCCATTGACAATTTTCTGCTCACCTTGAAATGGGTCATACTGTCCAGGTATAAGGGGGTAGCCCATTCCAACATGTGTATGGTGGTGTGTATGGAGATGCCGCTGGCTGAAAGGAGAATGGCGGTCCCGTTCCCTTTCTGCTTCCCGCTCACGCTCAGCTGGTGATTTTTCCACAGGCTAGTAACAGAAAGAAAACTGATGTGAGAATTTTAAAAGGGATGAAATCACTACAAAACCATGTGCTACTACCTGTCAAAAGCCTTTTGAATAAAAATGATGAAGCTACCTTTTCTGAAGAAGTATCTCTACTGGAATATTTGCACTTGATTCTTATCTGAAGCTAATCTTTCTGGAAGGTTTCCCAAGGCACAAAGATTTTGAGGCAACACACTGCCATCTTGAAGACAGCACACTGACTTCTAGTTTTGGGCTCCCTGAAGCTCGGCTGGCTTGACAATGCCTGAATAACCTATGTGCTCAACCTTCTAAAGCTCTCTGGGGATCAAGTTTGACTGAGTAGCAGGAAGACCTTTTAGAAAATAGAATGAGAGGCAGTGGCATGCTCACAATTAAAACCAGCACCAACTTATCTGAAAGTGAAACAACAGTATTTGTTCCAACTTTGTAAATCTTGTTTGTATATCTTCAGAAATGGGGGCTGGTAATCAGCTACTTAGAAGATGTGGATGCTTGACAAATACAAGGAAGGGGATATTATCAAATCCCATAGACCAACTTCTCATTTCATTAAGTTCCCAAAAATAAAAGGAGGTTCCTGTTTAACTGCAAAAATCTGTGCACCGGGAAGAATCTCTGAATCTGTATTTCTATATTGAGTCCATTCAAGACAGGAAACCTCAGCATAGAACTGTGTCAGGTGTGTTACTTCTAGTTTATGCCACAGAAGCATTCTGACTATAAATTGCTTTTATTGTAAGCAGTACTATAAAGAAGAATCATGCACTCATAGCTTGATGCCAGATTGTGTACTTCCCACAACTGTGATCCTCCTCTACCCTTTCCCGTATGTGACAATCCTCAGTAAGAACAGATGAAGCCTTACAACAGGTGACTTGCTGCGGTATTGGTTGGCATGCTGCTGGAGCAAATCCAGTGCTTTGGACTCAGTGGTTGATTTTGCATTGATGCTTGGGCTGGTATTGACCTTCTCTGCCTCTTCTCTCCCTGACATCTTCCCATAAACTGGATAATGAAATCCTGGAGAGAGATAGGCCCCTGCAGGTAAACAATAAATACCACATCAAGTTACTGTTTTTACATTTTGATTGTATCAAGGTAGGAGGAGACAATGTCAGAACAGAGAATTACATCAAAAGTAGATCACATGACTTTCAAATGGCACCACTGCTCTTCAATTTCATCACCTAATTTACCCTGATGAATGGAGGGTATAAAGAGGGTTGAGTTGATAGCCATTTCAGACATTTATGGGTCCTTTTTAAGTAAAAGGAATAGTAACTATAATGGTTCTGACAGTAAGTGCTTAGAATATTTTTATAGGCAATAAACTATCTGTCAGTCTAACAGCAACAGCAGACTGTCAAGTGTTGAGAAACTTGAGAGTTCATAAAAGGAACATCTTGTATTAAATCAGTTTCATCTACAGAACTTTCCCCAGTGGAAGCACAACCAACACAACATCACCCATGAAGTTTCTAATTTAGCCTGCCTACTAACACAAGTATTAAAATGCAGGCTTCACTGAACCTGAGGACGCAAATGTTAACTGGCATGCAAGGCAGGTTTCGGAATACATACCAGGATAGCTGTGCATTAGGACTGGAGAGACTGCGCGATAGGCCGGATGGTTGGGATCGTACATCTGCGGATACGGATAAGCATGCAAGTACTGGATGTATGACTGATGCTGACTCATTGGTGAGGAAACTGCTACTCTACCACCCCGAGAGTCCTTCCAATTTACAGGAGTCTTTTGATCATCGTTTTTTATCTTGCTCTCATCCACTGATTGAGAATCAGAACGCTTGACCTCTTTAGGCTCCTCTTTAATGCTTGCTAATGAGACAGGAAGGTTAGGCAGGGAACTTTCCTTGTTAGGTGTTTTTCTAGGGCTGTCTTCTTTTAACTTTTTCTCACGATCAAGTTCTTCTGATTTTTGCTGATCAAGGTATTTGGGCTGATAGACATAATGATGCCATGTTCGTGAATCTGGATCCTAATACAGAGGAGAAAAAAATTGTTCTGAACTTAGACATAGAACTAAGTTTGTTATTGATATTTCCCACATTTCAGTTAATGTATTTTTAATAGCTGTTTTAATACAATATCCCCATTACATAGAGGAGAGGTTTGCTTGCCACGGAGTGCCTCGAGCTCAAAGTCAAACCAATATTCCCATGAAGGAGCAAGAGTCTATTATCAAAATTTAATTCAATTGCTTCATCTTATATCCTTCTTCATGCCTTTAACTAGTTTAATCATGAAATACATATGCAATGTAATGAAGTTCTGAGACCATGTTATTCATAAAACATTTTAATTAAAGCCCACAGAGAGATTTTTCCCACTAGAGAGCAAAAAGTATCTGTGAACCACAAAATTAGAGCTGGCTAATGATATGCCAGAGCACTTAGAATACCTGGAACAATGCACATGAAAAGCTGATCTGGCAGGCAAGAGTCTAATGCTGCCTCTAGTATTACAAACATCCAGGAATCAGTTGAAGTCAAACATTAAAGCAGACTTTTTCAGCTGACAATCTTTAAAGTTACAGATGGGCAAGTATTTATTGGATCAGGATTGTATGGTTTAAAGAACATGTACTGGGCACTGTAAATACTTTTTTACATAATACAATACACAGACCAGTTTATAAAGATGTTACAGAACTAAAGAGGGGTGTTTCTTACAACATCACACCAAATCGGTAGGGAGAAGTAACAGGAAGACTTCTTTTTCTAATATAGGATATGCAAGAGTTAATTGTCAACATTTTCTCCAATTGACAGACATTAATGGCACACGCCACAGAAATATAAGCAAGCAACTTAAATGCTTGGACAGTCTGGTTCAAATACTCACTCGAATCAGCAGAAATCTTCTCCTACTTAGGTCAGTACCAACCCACTTCCTTTAGAGCTCTCTACTCCCACTCCCCTGATCCCACTGTACCTTGAAAGACAGCCTGTAAGGGTGAAGTCTGGGATGTACCATACACCAGAACATGAAAGCATCAAGCATTGAGGCTCCAGTTCAGAGCACAGAGTCGCATTGCCTCAAATGAAGGCAATGTGACATCTACGAGGGTCAGCATGAAGCCACTGGATAAAATTCTGGTTCCACTGAAGTCAATGGCAAAACTATTGCTGACTTCAATGGAGAGAGGATTTCATCCATTGTGTAGGTCTGTAGGGGCTTGAGATTGGTTGAGGAGAGAAGGGGAACTTAACTGCTTCAGAAAGGTCACCTTGGGTTAAGATAAAGAGCTGTGCTTTAAGCCAACTCTTCAAAGAACCAGCTCACCCATCTTTAGTAAATGCCAACTGTCATTTAACACAAAAAAGAAACACTTCAAACCATGTTTCAAATCTACTTTAAGTCCTCTCACAATGAAAGCTGCTTATTTTGCTTGAAATTTCTCATTTCTGAACTAAGCAAACTGCTTAGAATTTACAAGGAAAAGAGAAATTTAATTCTATTTTATTAATGCATATAATTTAAAATAGTTCAGGTCTTAAGCCTGCTCTCGGTCATCACCTTACTAGACTTTTCAATTTATTTTTTTTGTTCTTTTCAAACAGCTCAACTGGAAGGTTTATTGGTCTATTCACAGACTACAATACCATCCAGCATGAAAAAAGGATGGTGGAGTTTGTTTGGCTGCAGAGGTAGAAGAAAGTATCAGAATTGGAAGAAAAAATCTCACGTGACTTAAATGATAAACCAAGACACTCTTGTTCCATTTCCTGTGACCTCACCTGTTTAAATCTTGTGGTTGGGTCTACTCCTGTTTGCTTCATCGAGTCCATAACAGATTTCATCTCCACAGCTTCCTTTATAAGCTGGTGGTTTTCCATTTGTTTGGCTTTGAAAGTGTCAGACTGAAGCTGCTGCTGGTGGTTGGAAAGGATCTGTGATTTGCTTGTCTCCTCACCTTTGCTAGGAACCGATGATCCTATTTTAGTGTTGTTTTTGCTGGACTCTGGAGTTGAAGGGGCCTTTGAAATAGTGGCAGATGGAATATTCTTCTGTTTGCTGTCATCCTTCCCAATCTCCTTCATGGGAGGGTCATTCTTCCTTTCACAGTCCCTCCCACTTTGTGACATTTTCTGTTCTGCTAGTCTCTGGTCCTCATAGTATTTTTCATACTGCTGCCTGTAAGCAGGGTTGGAGGCCATTAAGGACTTTTGGTCCATATAGAGCCCATAGGCATACTGTCCATAATAAAGTGACTGAGCAAGTGCAGGGTGTCTTTGAGTTATAACTGACTGATGTTGTGGCTGCAAATTAGAGGAAGTGCTTTCACTTTTCTTGGCATCTGATGATTCTGCCTTCTCTTTCTTTTCAGACTCTTCCTCAGCCTCTTTTTTAATTTTCATCCCCTGTGGGGTACTGCTGTTCCCAGCTGCTGGGGCACTGACCTGTCCAGAGTGCAAGTAACTCGGGGAATAATAAGGATCGTAGCCATGGTAATAGGGAGAATGAGACTCTTTTGCTTGAGCTGATTGTGCTGTGGTTGAAGAATGTCCTTTAACAACACCATCTTTATTAGAAATAATATCTGATGGAGAGCTGGCCTTTGACCTCATGCCCTCCGACCTGCTATCAGAGCCACCATCATCAGCTGCATCAGAAATATCTGAGTAAGCAGGGCTGTTGGTTTTAGCGGCCGTGCTGTCTGCGCCATTCTGTGTCAACACGTGCAGTGGGGCCATGGCAGATTGTCCATTCACCAAAGTGCTGCATTCCATCCTGGAGGCACTCCCTATGGAAGGGCTGGGCGCATTGTCTGTGAATGTGTAAACTTTATCAGCTTCAGCCTTAATACTTGCCATCCTGCTCTCTTGAGACTCTGACAGTCCATTAGCTAGCACTTCATTCTTGTTGAGATGGTCCTTTAAAAAATGTCCAGATAAGTCTTTTCCAGACCCTTTTGAATCGTCCAGCTTCCCCAGCTTAGAATCCATCTTGGGGCTGCCTGTCTCTTTGCTTTCTTTGTCCTTCAGCTTTCGCTTCTCCTTTTTCTTTTTGTCTTTGAGTGATGTGAGAGCTGGGTTTACAGTGCTTGGCTCTCCCATAATTGTGGGCTTTGGTTGAATGGGTTTCAGTGGAGGGCTCTTTGGTGTAGCCTGAACAATAGTAGTTGTTAGAGAGGGCAGTCCCGGTATTGTCCCTGTAGTGGTGGTTGTAAAGGCTGTAGTAGGTATAGCTATTAACTGGGGAGGAGTTGGTGCTGGCGCTGGGGCAATGGGCCTGGCTGTTTTCAGCTTGGAAAGGTTTTTATCCACTTTGCAATTGTTTGATTTCTTGCCTTTATCACCCAAACTCTTCTTGTCGATTAACCCTTCAGCCTCCAATTTCGGCATCTCGGTTTGCAAATTGCCATCTGCTACTGAGCAATTATCCAGTGTGGCTGCCATGTTAGAAATTACTGGAAGGCTGTTCAATTCACTGTTCATACCCTTCTTTTTGCCAGAATTCTTGCCAGTTTTGGAACTGATAACTGAACCAGGGCCATTGCTGGTCAGTTCTCTCTTTCCCTTGGGGGTCCCTGGGGTAGCAATGGAGGAAGGAGATGTCGGTGCTTTTAGTGGATCAAAGCCTGGCAAGTTTGTGCTTTGCTCACTGCATTCAAGTGCCACGTTACTCAGTGCTTCCTCGCAGTCTGAAATTTTGTCTTCACTGTCAGGTTCAAACTCCAGTTTGTTTTCTGGGTCTAAGTGTGCATGAGCCTGATGGTAACGTAATCCATTAATGTGCTTGTACTTCTTGTTGCAGTTGGGGTGAGGACAGTCAATCAGCACTGGAGAAGAGCAGCCTTGGTCCAAAAAAGTAGTCTCAGGTTTCCCCTGTGGGGTGGTGGGAGTGCTTCTAGAGTTAGTACGAATGCGTTTTCCAGACTTATTGTCCTCTGAACTGGAGTTCAAATCCAGCTCCATAGGAGGCTTAGTCTTCCTCTTGTTTGTGGATGAGGGGCTGGCTTTGACTTCATCCATGGCGCAGTTTGGGGGTGTTCTGCGCCCACTTGAATTAAGACTGCCCCTCCTCCCCTTCCCATTGGCACCGCCTCGATTTTTATTCTGAAGTCCTCTGGACTCTGCAAAACTCGCGTCATTCCCAGGCACAGCCGCAGCTGCAGCGGACCTTGCCCGCTTTCCCCTGCCCCGTCCTCCACGCATTTCCAAGTCACTTGTTGGTGATTCACAAAACCTGTACAAACAACAGATTTCATCAGCAGGAGTCATGAACTAAAAAAAAAAACCAAAAAAACTCACCACCACGTCCCGGAAGAGACACTTCACACACGTTAAAGAAAAGATGTCCTTCTGACAAATGAGAATGTTACAGTGTCAAAGTCATTAAATAAGGACAAAAATTGTAAGGACATACACACCTAGTTAGAGCAGTGGAGCAAAAAATTTTGCTAACTTACAGAAATGCATTTTACAGAAATTTTGAAATTAACTGCTCTCTGACTGAATCCCATGTATTTCCCCTTCCCTCTCAAAAATACAAAAGTAAAATAAAGAAGAGCTTCCACCCCATGTTTCACACAGAATAAAGAACTACTTGTTTCACTGGTGCATGTTTTCAATTATAACTGGTTGTGCTTTTTTAATCTCTGTACAGTCTCTTGCCTGAGATTAGGGGTTTAAATACAGCAGAGAAAAAACAGACTCAGAATGTTTGCCTACCTAGGAGGGGCCCAGTCATGCTTTGTGCAGTCCAACAGTGTTCCCACGTAAGTCTTGTTCCTCCATGTAACATTTACCACCAGGACACCTGTCAGTGAGCAAAAAAAAAAGTATTAGTTAGAACAATAACTGGGATAGACTTTTTTTTTATTCTTTTATTATTTCTTATATTTTTTCTGTCCTTCCCCCACAGAGTGAGACGTTTACTCTCATTTGTTTTCAAACACTGTGGTCTATATTCTTCCTCTTTTCTGGTTTCAGTGACCTCAAGTTAAAACCACACAGGAAAGACAGCAAACGACAAAGAACAAGAATGTGTGCACGCATGTGTGTGTGTAAGACAGCTTGCCTGTGTGACTGTGTGTGTGTGTAATCAAGATACAGCTGACAGAAGGAAATGGGTTTTGCCGTGTCCTGCTGTAAAACAGCAACACTCACCTCTTAATTTTGCTATTATTGCACATAATTGCTTTCACTTGGCAGCCGGCCAGCATAAACTAAGCACCAGTTACAGTGTTTAAATCAGAAGGTGACTGAGAAGAATAATCTGCTTTGCTTTGAACAACATGATAATGATGCTTCTATTTACTTGAAATTACTCATATCCAAACACACAAACATACACACGTATGCACTGCAAGTTTTCTTCAGCAGATATTGCTGGAAAAATGTATTATTTGCCTTGCTTTTGCTTCTGCAGGAAGTGAGGGACTAGACATGAAACTTCAACCATACACCACTGAAGGTAGGAGTAATTGCAATATATATTTATATAGGAAGAGGGATCCTTCAAACAACCTACTGTAATTTAATTGCTTTTTCACTTATGACTTTTATTAAATGCAAATTTGCCTGCCTAAAGCAGAATTCTAATTTCGTTTTATTTGAATTATCCCTGTAAAATTTGTGAATGATAAGGTTATTTTAAATAACAAGAAAATAAATGTGAGGGGATGTCATTCAAATGTTTTCAGGTTGCCCTCAAACACTTCTTCACATAATTTATCATCATGTTTATGGACTAGCCAGCATAATGACCCCTTTAATTCATTAACTGCCACAGATAAACAGAAGGTAGTATTATTGAACCAGACATCTCTTCTCATTACACACACTGAAATAAGAAATACATTTTAGCTAACAAAGAAAGACACAATACAAAATGTTCCCAATTTATGAGAGGCGTAAAGACACCAACTCGCAGCTGACAGCCTTGTTTTCCCTCTACACTTCCCTTGTTCTATCTGCAGCGTCTCTGTAACAGATATGATTATGGCATTGTGCCAGAATGTTTCCAGCCCATCTTTTTGCTTTGTCTTACCAGCGCAATTTCTAATTTTGCACTGAAACCATCCCTCTCTACTGCACTGAGGTGAAGTTAACACACAAGTGACAGCTTATTTCCTCAGGGATCTTTTAGCAGCAGGGAAGTATTTTAAATGTTGGTAGCAGAGGTGTCAGGGAAGAAGATATTTTCTTGAAAATTCTCTGTAAGAGATCTGAAATTTATCCCCCAATGGTTTTTCATTGCAATTAGGCAACTGGAATTTTGTACACTGGGATGAACTGGTTTGAAGCATGAAAGACAAACTGCACCTCCAGCCAGAGTCAGAGTCAGGCTTTCAGTACCTAGAAGGACCATGGGGAAGGTGTTTAAAAGGAGAAACTTGATGGGGCACTTAGTCCCATGGTCTACTTGACAGGGTGGTGTTGGGTCATAGGCTGGACTTGATGATCTCAGACATCCTTCCCCAGCCTAACCAACTATGTGATTCTGTGATCAGAGTTAAAATGCCATGCTGTATTCTTATGACCTAGGCAAACCAGGCAGCCTGCAAAGACACCAAGGCTGCTTTACACTGCCCCTTGCTTAAGCATGGAGGTAGCCAGGGGGTGCTGGGGTCCGGGGAGGAGGAGGGGGAGGAGGAGGAGGAGAACAACCCAGTACATCCAAGAGAAAATGTCTGTTGGTGGAAATGGGGTTTCTAACAGTGAGCAACTCCAAGCTATGTTCCCACTTGCTATTCACAGCCTAGAGAAAAGAGATTGCAAAGGTGTTTCTCTGGCAGACATGATGCCTTTCTTCCACTGTAACAGCTTTTCATTTGTGACTCTGTAAGGTTCCAAGTGAAAATTGAGTATTTTCCACTAGCAAATTGTATTATGGCATGCAGCCCATCTATCTGCAAGCAGCACACTTGATCCCTCCAGACCATGTTCCAGCATTTGTTCAGTGTCCCAAAAGTACCAAGCAGAGAGAACTCTCTGACATCCCACAGAGTATTACTGAAGAATTATCTTTGTCATTTATTCTTCCCCAGCTAGTTCACCTTTTCTGAAAAAGTAATTGTTATTTTTGTGGGGATTTTTTGAGTTTGGATTTTTCTTTTCTTTTTTTTTTTTTTTTTCTTTTAATTTGGGGGGGTTGGTTTGTTTCTTGTTTTGGTTTGGTTTTTTTTGGCAGGGGGTGTCAATGAAGATTTATTCTGATGTACGTCTCCATCTTCCTTGATATTTGTAATCTTGCCTATCTCTACATGCCCTTTATTAATTTATTTATATACCAGACCTAGGGATAGTTTGTTACCTATTGACAGAAAAGAGGGCAAGGTAGAAGGCAATGAATAGCGAAAATAATAAAAGCCCCTGAAATCAATACATATTCCAGTAATTGTAAGAAGACATTTAAATGACCTTCCAGTGTAAGAAAGTCAGTGTTTCAAAAGCAAACACAACTAAGTTCCTCCCTGAAAGTCTGCTACATATAGCATCTCATTAAATTTGTTAGGCTGAGCAAAGGCCGCCTTCAAGTATGAGAGAATATTAATCTTCACACTGTGTTAGAATAGCAATGGCAAGGAATACATTTCCTTTCCCTGATGGATAGCACACTGCTCAGCCACACGTAGGATTCCACAGAACTGGCAGCGAAGGTAACTCATTTAATCTTCTAAGATTATCACAGAAATGGGTGAGGAGAATATAAGTCACATGAGAGGTAGGACTGATCTAAGGAAATGTGCAACTGGTGGAGGCTTATTAGGCCAAAGCACCAGAAGATGAAAATGGAGATGACTGAGCTGGTACTCCACACAATGTACTTGATGCAGGGCTGAAGAGTAAGGATTATTCTTCTAAATCAGGTTACAGTGTTAGTCCTGGCACAGTGTTCAAGCTCAAACCCACAGCCTCTGCTGAGCCTGCTCGGTCCCAGAGGCAGTGCTAGAGCAGTGTCCCGCTCACCTCCCACTGTCACCTCTGAGTACACTGGCCATGCACTCTGGGATGCACTAACCCTTCTCTGGGCTGTTCCAGCTCCTCTCTGTGCACATGTGTGCCCATGTATCCCCTCCACCTTGTGAAGGAACACACCACACACAGGACCAAACTCTCAGGGGCTGTGTCTAATAGTAAGTCCCTGTAATGAGACTTCCTATTACATTAGACTACAAATCATGTAGCAATAGTTTATTTAACATTGCCTGAATAAGAGAGGAAATGCAAAAACAGTCTGAGGAATCCACAGATCTCACACTATCTAAACAAAGAGAGGTATTTCCACCTTAAAAAAAGCCCAAAAACCTAAACTTTTTAAAAATACCCATTACTGAAGAATGGGAAAAAATTCAGATGCTTGTAATGAAATGAAATGAAATTAAATACCTGAGGGTATTTGGTCTCTCTAAGATTCTAATTCAGGAGGAAATCTACTCAAATATCTAATTCTGTTCTTGTGAGGTTAGATCAAACAATAATGGATATATGCTACACACAAATGTTTCTTCAAGCATCTTAAAAAGTTTGACCAAATACCAGAGCACAGTTCACAAGAATTGGACATAATAAAGAAAATCTTATGTCCCCAAAATATGGATATAAATTTCTTGGTTTAATTTGGTTGATCATTCCATTTGCAAACTATGTAAATATTCACAGTTACAGTATATCCAAAATAAGCAATACTTTCTGCAGTCTCCAGTGTCATATATCTTACATCAAAGCAAACAAGAATATGAAAATTAAAAGTTCTGAAGTTACTATCAATGCTACTCTTTATCATTAAAGAGTAGACATAGTAAGCAGAGAATGTTTGATGTGTGGGAATTACAAAAAAGTGTTATAACATAAGAAAATGGGATCATGTTACCCAGAAGTTTCACAGTTCACCTACTGTAGTTTTTCTGACAAAATCCATTATTAGCCAAGGCAGGATCATACCCAAAAGCATTAATGTTGGCACATTAATGGCACATCCAGGATGTCATCTGGTGCCCACCACCACCACCAGAAACTTTTCCTTTAACATTAAATGTTGTCAGCCTTTTAGGAACAAGAGAAGATTCTGTATTTTGCTGTTTTCCTTCACAATGTGTGTACCATCATAATCATAACCACAATGATAATGGCAAAAACAAAAATTCAGGCAGGAAAAACTAACACGTGCCTATAGGAGCACAAAACCATTTTACATAAGTACTTCTGATAGGTAACGTGTACAAAACAACTGTGTCAACTTGTACATGAACTTTATTATGGAATTAAAGGTCACATGTCACAAAAGTGGTATGTAAGAAAATAATTTCAGAAACCTACAAAAAAACCCTCACTTTTTATGAGTTCTGTGGATATAATGTATCTCTTCTTTCCCTGTGCCTTCTTCCTCCTTTTAGAAGCTATGTTACTGCATACCAAAGACCAGAAATAAAATTTGCTATTTACTATTAACTATATCTCATAGAATTAAATATGTCATCACAAATTGGAAATGAAGTAACTAAACTTGTTGCTAAGAAATGGAGATGTGCTATTTTGACATAAAAACATCACAATCAAAGGTATTTTCAGTACCAAGTAAAGGTATTGTTCATATGGACTGCTTGGGCACTGCAAGTTTAGCAGACACTCTTGAAGATGTTCCTTCATTTAAGACAAAAAAACCCTATTTTTTTTTTAAAAGTACCTAGTCTAAAACAGATTACAGTCGTTTCTTGACTCTATTTTCTGCAATGAACACAAGCCAGGAATTTTTATGTTTGTATTCAAAACTTTGAAAATTATATCATGTGGTGTGAAATCAAATTATTACAT